TGTCACCAGCTCTCCTATATATAACTGCACAAGGCTCTTGACTGCATCCTGCCGGCACAGGTCATGCTGGTGCGATCCAGGGGGTGTACAGGAAGGCAGCTGCCAGGGACAGAGCATAAACGTGCTCCCCCCTTGCCGTCAGTACTGTTGGTGGCAGCTACGGTCAGGCAGCACCGCCCAGCAGTGTTACCCTGAGCTTTGCCAACTGCTCAGCAGGTGCCAGCAGACAGGGGCTGGTTCAGTCCTGTGAGTGTGGGACTGCAGACTGAGGACCCTGGAGATCCCAGGACTTGTCAGCCGTGTCTTCATCAGCACTGCCAAAATGTCTGCCCAACCACGTGGGGCCTAACCCTAACCCTAACCGTACCACATGGTGGCTTTGCTGTAGGATTGACCTTGACTTTGGAGTTGTCTCTTCTTCAAGCATCCCTGGCTTTTGCTCTTGCATCTGCAAGGTGGGGTGGGGTGTGAATTTGTCACTTAATCCTCTACCATGGCTAACGGGGCTTCTCTGCCACATTTTGTCTGTCATATGGTCCTTTCTGGGTTTGGGATAATGCTCTCACCAGTCCTTCTCCACTGACACACTTCCAACAACAGTGGCCTTGTATGTAGGACCCCATCCTGATCCCCATCTCCTTCATGCCCTCAGACACCTTCTTGTCCGGAGCTTGGGGGTCATACAAAAGCCACACGAAGTCTCACAGAGTGGGATAAAGCCAGGGCTGTAGGCAGCAGCTGGCAAAGGCATTTCTTTGGTCATTTGTTCCCATCCTGCCTGGTGCAAAGATGTCCTCTGGGGTCAGGCAGGAGGGTCTCTCTGCAAAAGCAAGCCCAAGTCAGCTCCTGGAGACCTGACGGTTTGGTAACACTTCCCTTCCAGAACGGGAGTCCCGAGAGCATGAGGAACCGACCACATCAGAGATGACAGAGGAGACCTACCCACCCAAGTCCTACCGGCCCAAGCACGGGCGCCTCTCTGAGCTCAAGGCTGAGGCCCTGAAGAAGGACCGTCGAAAGAAGCTGACCCTGGCCAAGTTTGTGGGCATGGCAGAGAACACAGCACACCCTCGCGTCGTCATCCCTGAGCTCCGGCAAGAGTTTGAGCTGGTGGGTGCCTTCACCTTCCCTCTGTGGGGCTCCTGCGGGCAGGGGGCCTGGGGACCAGGTGCCAGTGCAGGGGGACGGGGGACCTGAGGGCATCTGCAGCTGAAGGCTTGCCACAGGTGCTCCCTTTCTCACTGTCCATCTTCTCCCTGCTCACAGGGCCCCTGCCGCAGGCACATGGAGGCATCCCTGCAGGAGCTCAAGAGCAGCCAGCGGATGGTCCCCCGTGCTGTCCACCTCCCCAACTGTGACCGAAAAGGCTTCTACAAGAGGAAGCAGGTAAGAAACAGCCCCACAGAGGGATGCTTCCCACCCAGGGATGGTCTGCTGCCCTGGATGGAACGAATGGAGGTTTTTTCCTCTACTGGTCTGGTGGGGAGGTTGCTGTGAGCATCTCCAGGCACAGTTAGTGGTGGGTGGCCTTGCTAATGGCTCCGAGTGCTGTGCAGCCTGAGGTGAGCAGCTGAAGGAGCTGGTGTGGGAGGAGAAAAAGTCAGAGAGCCTGGGGCTGGGGTAGCAGCAGGGATGGAGATGTGCTGAAAGCAGAGAGCAGGAGCTAGGTCCTACCCAGGGGACTGCATCACTGGGGTGAAAAGGGCAAAACACAGGGCTCATCCTGACTCCCAGTGTGAGAGTGCCACATGGCGTTTGGTGGTCAGCTCTTGATCTCTGCTCTTGGGTGTCTCCCCAGTGCAAGCCCTCCCGAGGCCGGAAGCGTGGGTTGTGTTGGTGTGTGGACAAATACGGCATGAAGCTGCCGGGGACTGACTACCTGAGCGGAGACCTGCAGTGCCACGCGTTCGACAGCAGCAACGTGGAGTGAAGTCGCATCCCCCCCCTTTGCCCCATCACTACCTACCCAGGCTCCCTTCCACCCTCCCCTTTGCACCTCCCCGTGCCCCGGGACTCCGATTCCTTTCATCTCATGTAAGAAGAAAAAAAAGAAAGGAAAAGAAAAAAGAGAAAGGAAGGAAAAGGAAAAACAGAGAAAGGGAAAGAAAGAAGTAAAGAAAGGAAAAGCGAAAAGAAAAAAAAAGGAAAGAGAAAAGAAAAAAAAAGAAGAAAAAAGAAAATAGAAAAGAGAAGAAAAGAGAGGAAAATTAAAAAAAAGGAAGATAAAAGAAAAAAGAAAGACAAGAAAAAAGAAAAGTAAAAGAAAAGAAAAGAAAAGAAAAGAAAAGAAAAAAGAAAAGAAAAGAAAAGAAAAGAAAAGAAAAGAAAAAAGAAAAAGAAAAGAAAAGAAAAGAAAAGAAAAGAAAAGAAAAGAAAAGAAAAGAAAAGAAAAGAAAAGAAAAGAAAAGAAAAGAAAAGAAAAGAAAAGAAAAGAAAAGAAAAGAAAAGAAAAGAAAAGAAAAGAAAAGAAAAGAAAAGAAAAGAAAAGAAAAGAAAAGAAAAGAAAAGAAAAGAAAAGAAAAGAAAAGAAAAGAAAAGAAAAGAAAAGAAAAGAAAAGAAAAGAAAAGAAAAGAAAAGAAAAGAAAAGAAAAGAAAAGAAAAGAAAAGAAAAGAAAAGAAAAGAAAAGAAAAGAAAAGAAAAGAAAAGAAAAGAAAAGAAAAGAAAAGAAAAGAAAAGAAAAGAAAAGAAAAGAAAAGAAAAGAAAAGAAAAGAAAAGAAAAGAAAAGAAAAGAAAAGAAAAGAAAAGAAAAGAAAAGAAAAGAAAAGAAAAGAAAAGAAAAGAAAAGAAAAGAAAAGAAAAGAAAAGAAAAGAAAAGAAAAGAAAAGAAAAGAAAAGAAAAGAAAAGAAAAGAAAAGAAAAGAAAAGAAAAGAAAAGAAAAGAAAAGAAAAGAAAAGAAAAGAAAAGAAAAGAAAAGAAAAGAAAAGAAAAGAAAAGAAAAGAAAAGAAAAGAAAAGAAAAGAAAAGAAAAGAAAAGAAAAGAAAAGAAAAGAAAAGAAAAGAAAAGAAAAGAAAAGAAAAGAAAAGAAAAGAAAAGAAAAGAAAAGAAAAGAAAAGAAAAGAAAAGAAAAGAAAAGAAAAGAAAAGAAAAGAAAAGAAAAGAAAAGAAAAGAAAAGAAAAGAAAAGAAAAGAA